TGAACTTACACTTAGAAACGCACATAAAGGAAAACAGGACTGATGTAAGCTTGATTTTAATCTGCAGGGTCTATAGTGGACTCATTTCCACAGCGTAATGCATCTTGAGTGCTTTCAGAAGAGCTGCTTTACTCATACTCTGAGTAGTGATGCTTTTACTTTACTTGCTCTACATGTTTTGGCAAGTTATGCTATGATGAGTATAATTGTTTGTTTACCTCGAGGCAGATCTTTGGAGAAAGCTTTAGCGTAATACACCGTCTGCTCTCTGGAGGTGTACGCGTTCAGATGAGCTCCCATATTCTCGATCTCCAGCTCCAGGTCCAGCTGAGACCTCTTTCTGGTGCCCTAAACGTGCATTTAAAAACCCGGTTTAACGTCTGAACCAAACCTTTTCGTATTAAGACAAATAATTTGTTCTCATACCTTAAATGCCATGTGCTCCAGGAAGTGCGCTGTGCCATTATTATGCTCATTTTCATAGCGACTCCCAGCATCAATCCACAGACCAACCTGGATCATGTGATCACAATTAATACTCTGATAAGTCAGCATTGACTCGCTGGGCATTAAACTCAATGAATGTTTTGTTTTATGCATTCGCTTTTACTTTATATTATTTAATCTTATTATTATTTACTTTTATTGGTCTGAGCTTGCAATTTATATCTAATATTTATTATAGAAATGCAGTTTATTAATCACTGCAAGGTGAGTTCTGTATATAACTGGGTGAAATATTTTGGTATTATTTCTGCTTCGTAATCTTTAATGAAAGACATTTACAATGTTTACGTTTTAGAAATGTCCAGTAGATTAATCATATAAAACTACTCTAATTAAACTGAAAACATTACAATAAATGCTAATTTAAAAAATGGCAAGATGTTTTATAATGCTATACGTGTATGGCTCAAAATTATACATTTTTCCTTTATGTTAAAATTTATTAGATACCAAACTCTGCATTTTTATTAGTAATAGATGCATTGCTAAGAAGCTTATTTGGACCATTTTTAAGGTGATTTTTCTTAATTTTTTTAACCCTCAGATTCCAGATATTAATATTTAAATATTGTCCTATTCCAACAAACCATGCATCAATAGAAAGCTTATTAGTTCAGCTTTCAGATGATGCATGAATCTCAATTTCTCTGGGGTCGGTTATTTTTACTTCTGCTGTGGTTATTTCTGACATAAGCTCCTTCCACAATTGTGGCCCCTCAGAGACACTCATGTCCCGGTCGGACAATTTTCAGGAAATCACCCCTAAAAAAATAGTCCCCCTAATTTTAAGTTTAAATTAGAATTTAATTAGAATTTACATATATCATGGCAAAATCATTAGATATCCATGAAGATATTCTGTACATTTCCTAAAACTCTAAATATTTGATTAGTAATAGATGCATTGCTAAGATGCTAATTTGGACTATTTTAAAGGCGATTTTTCTCAATATTTAGATTTTTTTAAACCTTCAGATAACAGATATTGATATCCAAATATTGTCTCATCCTAACAAACCATACATCAATGGAAAGCTTATTTATTTGGCTTTCAGATGATGCATAAATCTCAATTTCTGAACACTGATGGGGTGCTGGCTCACATATCTTACTTCTGCTATGGTTATTTCTGACATGGGCTCCCCCCACTCTGGTGGCCCCTATGAGATACTTGCGTCCCAGTCAGACACTTATGCCTTTCAAGAAAAAGCACGCTTAAAAAAAAGAGGTAAAGTTGGTTTTATATTTGCACATTTAGAGTTTCTCCTTAATAATATAATTTCAGAAACGCATTGTTTGCGAATTCTGAATAGGGAAATAACATTATAGCTATCTGTGTACAACATTGTTCACAGTCTTCTAGATAGTGCTAATGTTGTTTTTAACTCGTACTTGCACGCGATTTCAAACCCGATATTCAAGGTAGCGTGGTAAACAATATAGAGACAGTGTCACATGTATTCACTGTCCTAAAATGAACGAATGTGTGAATATAAAACCAGCTTTACCTCAATTAAAAAAACCTCATGTCCCCTCATATTAGGTTTAAATAATCCACTTCATAAGACACCAGAGATTGACATAGCTGTGATGGTGAGTTTACCGTGCATGTGGATAGTCCAGAGTCTTCAGAAGCCACCCTTAGCCCATTATCAAGGGTCGTGAGCTTCGTTTCTGGTACATTTAAAACCACCTGATTGACAGCCGGAGCAGACACACTCTGAAACACACATACACACACACACACACACAGATGAAGTCAGAATTGTTCGCCCTCCGGTGAATTTATTTATTTATTTATTTTTTTTAAATATTGCTGAAATATTGTTTACCAGAGCAAGGAATTTTTTACAGTATTTCCTATAATATTTTTTCTTCCCCAAAAAATATTATAGGAAATCATCAATTATCAAGAGTAGTGAGCTTCGTCTTAAAAGTCTTTATTTCGGCTAGAATAAAAGCAGTTCTTAATTTTAAAACAATTTCAAGGTCAATATTATTAGCCCCCTTACACGATATATAGTTGTCATGGTCTACAGAACAAACCCCTGTTATACAATGACTTGCCCAATAACCCTAACTTTAACCTAATTAACCTAGTTAAGCCTTTAAATGTCACTTTAAGCTGAATACTAGTATCTTGAAAAATATCTAGTCATTATTATAATTTTTTTATTATTTACTGTCATCATGGCAAAGATTAAATAAATCAGTTATTAGAAATAAGTTATTAAAACTATTATGATTAGAAATGTGCTGAAAAAATCTGGGAAAAATATACAAGAGGGCTAATAATTAAGCAGATTCAAAAACTGTACATACCACAGTAAACCATGTGTTTTAACATAATCAAACATTCATTAAAGATCTCGGATTTATCAACACTTCTGTGTTCTATTGTTATCATTTCACATACAAACACAAAAATATCAATATCCTAAGTCATCTCACGTGTTAACTTTATTTTGTATTGATATTGATTTCTACATATCTTCTGTGAAAATGTTGAAAAGCGTTAAAAATATTTAACAAACACTTTTTATTCCTCTGATAATCTGTAAAATAATCAGTGATTTATTGGCACACTATGATGTTTACTGTGTTTTATGTTGTTGTTTTTGTATTTTTCTGTATGTTTCTGTCATTTTAAATCAATAAAGGTAAACCACACGGCATAAGCACTGAGCCGGACATCAGCAATAAATAGTGAAATCATTCTGAGATAATAGTATTAACAAATATCCTAGCAAAGTAATCAATGTCACATTATTACTGTCGTTATGTAACGCTTTCATCATCTGGTCCAGCTTATGCTAACCCCAATATCCTAACTTGTTTTAATAACTGCCAGGACATCGTTCTTAATATTTTAGCAGTTGTCAATCATATAAGTGACGTGATTGTAATGTCTTACCCTGTTGATGACCTTTGTGTTGAATAAGTTCTTTATAAAGTGTCTCCCGGCTGTGCCGAAACGCTGCATGGAGGCCGCCATGCTGTTTACTGACTGTAGGACGCAGGAGGAAGAGCGAGCTCCGATTGGACTAAAAGACAGCTACGTCATGCGTTTTTCAGCGTGGCTGCAGACCAACTGAGGTATTTTTGCATTTTTTATTCTCAAGTGTTTACTCCTCCTTGTGGAGAACTGTTCAACTGTGGCTATAATGGGTATTTAACAATTTTTAATTTTATATTTAATGTAATTTAGCAGAAACGTAAATAACAATATGCCGAGAAAGCTGCACGTTTGAACAGCACAGTGTTTACATTTAGAGTTTTTTGCAGTATTGTATGATGTTAAAATAGTTTATATTTTATTACTATTTATTTTATATTTCTATTGTTTATCTAGATGTTATATATTAAAGAAAATAATATATATAATAACATATATATATATATATATATATATATATATATATATACATACATACATACATATATACATATATATATATATATATATACATACATACATATATACATATATATATATATACACACACACATACATACATACATATATATACATATATATACACACACACACATATATATATATATATATACACACACACACACATATATATATATATACATACATACATCTATATATATATCTATCTATATATATATATATATATATATATATATATATACACACACACATACATACATACATATATACATATACACACACACATATACATATATATATATAGCTTAAAAATATTTACTATTTTCCCAAGTGTATATAACTACTACTGTAAGAAGATATCAGAGTTCGGTTCATACTTTCAGTATGTTGTTTATATAAAATGAGCCTGCTCCCTAGCAGGTTTGAGCTATCGGAACTGTTGCTATGACAACAATTTTCAGATCAGTTTTGAAGAATTAAACGATCCTTGATCATATCAAATCGTCAATAACCAAACCCAGCTAAACTGGAGTCATCCATGTGCGAATAACGGACCGCTAGCAACAACCAGTACAGCAAAGAAACAGCAACATGACAGCAACAGCAAGTTAGAAGGCTTAAAGAGAATGTCTGTTTCTAATGTATTGGAAGCAGATATTTACGTAGGAACAACACAACAACAAAATGAAGTGATGTTTAACACAATTTGCCGTCAGTTTAACAAGTCAACCACCTTTTATTAATAGATTTTGAACTGCAAAAAACCTGCACATTTTCCATACTGCTCTTTTTGTTTGCATAACACTTTGAATTTTGCTCATTATTTATTAAAGCATCTTTAAGTATTGAAATTCGAGATTCACAGACATTGTTTTTGACACATTATTTAAAATATGTGGCTAAAAATAGCTATCATCTTAGCTTTTTTTTCTCTTCTTTTTTTATTTTTGGTGGGGTCAGTAAAAAATTTGGCAGGGCAAGTAAAAATCTGAACCACTGGCCCGATCGGACCAGTAGAAAAAATCCATAGCGTTAAACCCTGAACAGGTCAAAGTTAAAAATAAAAACAAGCATGTCATACAATATATTTTTATTTGTTAAACATAACTTCTTTCAAAACAAGAGTATCAGCATAATGCTGGTGAGGGAAAAAAACAACATTTAATTTACAAAACATACCCAGAAGCTGACTATTAATGGTAGTAACACGCTGATGAACATTACACAAGGTAAAAAACAGAGGTCGCACAATAAAGACATGCGATGGGAAATCAGCTTTCTTTAGTCCAGAAACCGATGTGAAACAGTGAGTCTCCTGCAGTCGATGTAGGATGCGTATAAAATCCCTGCTGTGTCCCGACACTATAGTTCATGTTGTGGTTTTTTTCTGTCAGGATTCTGGAGGTGTTTGCTGACTCGGGGCTCCGCTGCGGGTGCGGAGCTGTGATTGGGCGATGTCTGCTAGTGCCGTCTGGATCTTCTCCAGCAGGGCGTCTCCTCTGTAAACCACTTCCTCCAGACGCGCTGCAGCTTCCTGGTTCTCCTCTTCCAGCTGTCGCAGACTGGCGGCCTAAGAAACGCATCAGAAATGACAACAAGTAGAGACGAGGTATAATGCTAATGTATTGTTGTTCACTCTGTACTTGGACAACATGGGTAGCACAGAGCCAGATGTGCAATATATGTGGCATGGGATGAGCAATTAACAGTAATCAAGTTTGTAATATGATTAATATCTAGCTAATTGGTCATTTGTGTATTATTGTCATGGTATATTTCAGTGTTTCTCAAATCCATTTCTGGGCTCCTACTGCTCTGTACATTCAGTGCAGCTTCTGGAGCTTTCTTCTAGCAAGATGATATTTATAATCAGGTCCATTATGTAGGCATAACTCAAAATGTGCAAAGCAGTGGCTCTCCAGAAATGGATATGAGATGCACAGGTTAAGCTGAGATTCATTTTTAATGCAACAATATAATTTACAGTTGATTTTCTTCTCTTTGAGTGCCAGAACTCAAAACCTGAAGTGCAGAACAACCATATTTTAAACAGCAGAAGGCTCAATAATTATATAATGATTCAATAATAATAATGTGGTGTTGGCCAGTGATACAGTGTGTGTGTGTATATAATAAATGTACCTGCAAGGCTGCAGTGGATTCTTCACTGGGCAGAGAGTCGATCAGCACATCAACATCTTTTGCTGTTCTTGCTATCAGCGCTGCAAACAGCTGAGCATATTCTAGAAAAAACACATCTTAGTATGTCAACTTCAAAACACATTATTTTCAAAGTGGATCACATTCAGATCAGTGCAGATGAGAGCACCTTCTGTGGGGTTTGAGGGCTGGTCTTTATTGATGGCCGTCTGGATGTTGCTGAAGGAGGCCGGTGGTGCGCACTGCTGCAGAACTCCAATCGCATTACAGAACTGATCCGCCAGCTGAAACACGACATGCAGTAAATCAGACATGCAGGACAATCCACTGTTACTTTCAGTTTACATGTTCTTTGACATGATGAGAAGTATTAGTACTCAGTGCTAAGATTGTGAATTATGTAATATATGAATAAACACAATTACATGTAATGTTTGATTAAACAACATTAATTTAAAACAATTTAAAAATAATTAATATTGCACTTTGAAGAACACAAAAAAAGAAATATTTAAGTGTACTTCACCAATATATAAGTAACAATAGCACTTACAGAAATGTATGTATATATTATATGTTATATTATAATTATATAACGGTGCCTTTTATATACACTTACTTAGATTATAATAGGACTATTATTTTCAGTTTCGTTTTATTTATAACAAGTAAAACATTTATTACAGTATCAAAACACATATGACAACAAACTTCACCTGTTCATTTGTTCACAAATTGCACGCTATGCTAACACTTCAGACGCTACAGTACATCAACATGACTTCTTAAGCAAATAATCCAATTTAATGAACCAGACTATTAAGTAAATCTGTTCGGAAGACATTTGCTGTGTTCTGCAGTTTCTGAAGTATAAAATAAACGTTAAATGAGTCTTACGGAGTTCACAGCATCCTGAAGCTGCGTTAGCCTGTCGGCCATGTTGGCTCCTCTTCACAGTTTCCGTTTCCGCCGAGCGCGTTCAATGCTACATCACGTGATACAGCGCAGCGTACAGCGAAAGCGCTCGTCTACTGAAAAGTTGTTGCATTTTCGCGCAAAGCAGGAGTGCTTGACACTTCCGGAGGCTGGATGTGAAGCTTCAACATGACTGCCGAATGTAAATGCTTCTGCTAAAGCGTGTTTATGGACTGGACTGATCCGGGAAAATGCCACTGAAGAGAGAATGTTTGGTTCTGCTCGTCTTGTCGTGGGTCGGTTCACTGCGCGCTCAGGATGAGAGTGAGTAACGTTAAACCCCTAATACCTTCTTTATTACGCTTGATAAAATATATAATCCCTATATAACGCACATATGTGGCAAATAACAGTTGTTTAAAGTGTGACTCAGCTCATTTAGCGACATATGAATCGAAATCAATCATGTCAACTATGTATTTCTAATCAATTAGTGATTGATATGATGTTGCAACTGATCTAAAGTTCACCGTTACGCTAAATAAACACAAACATCCCAAAATATCTTACTTATCACGCTTAATTAATTATATAATCCCTTTTAAACGCACACATGTGACAAATAATTCGTGTTTGTAGAGTGAATCAGCTGCCGACATATCAATCTGAAATAATAATCCTAAGAATGAAATGCTGATCAATTAGTGATCGATTCGTGTACTGATTTAAGGTCAATATATCAATCTGAAATAACCCTATTATTGTTACCACATAATAGCTAACATAGAGGTAACGTTGCTTTTATAGTCGCACATTCGTTTATTTAGCAGTCTCTGTATTGTTTACCATGTTAACGTTAACGTTACTTTGAATATTCGATAGACATTAGCAGGCAAGGATGACTTCAAAACAACATCGACAATGATTTCCCTATTTAGAATTTGTAAACATTACTTTTCTGAAATTACCTTATTGAGGAGAAAGTCTGAATATGTGAATATAAAACAGACTTTACCTCTATATAGCTAACTATTATTGTTCTAGTGTATTTGGGTTTTATGACTGCTTGTACTGTTTATAAACTGGACTACATTGATATTTATGAGGTGATGATTGCTGATAATGTAAATACACACACACACACACACACACACACACACACACACACACACACACACACACACACACACATACATACATACATGCATATATATGTGTGTGTGTGTATGTATATATGTGTTTGTGTGTGTGTGTGTGTATGTATATGTATATATATATATATATATATATGTATATATATATATATATATATATATATATATATATATTATAATTTAACACTTTAGTGAATCTTAGACAATGCATAAAATAATTAAATACATAAGTGACTGATTTATTTATTTGTTTAATTTTTCATACACAAGAAAGACATTCATTACGACTAATATAGTAAGAATATTAATCTCACACTTGGGAAGATAATAAGTTTACGGTAATCAGATGTATAAACTGAGCAAAAATATGCAATTTGGTGCTGATATAAACATTATTATACCCAAAACATTCAGAGGTCTGTCAGAGTACTTGCATAAAATGCATATAAATATTACTGTCACTCTATCGCAGAGTAATATGTCTAAATGCAATACTTTTTTTATTTTTTAAAAGCAATGCATTGTAATGATGAAGGAACAATTCTCAAAAATATATAAAATAGCAAATATCAAATTTGCTCAATTTACTTTTAATTATTTATTTTTATTAATATTTAAAGATATTCATCTATGTAAAGACACTGATCATGTTAATGATTTCTCGAATGTTTTTGTTTTAGCGAGTTTTTGATCTCTACTTCATTTGGGAAAATAAAAACATTATTTCTGAGAATTATTGTTTCTCAAAATTCATATTTGATACTCATATTTCAGCATTTATGGACATTTCAATGGTCAAGAAAAACAAAATTTAGTCTTTATTTTCATATTATAATATTGATATTCTTACATACAATTTTTATTTTTATTTTATAGAGATATATTTTAATATTATATAAGGTTTTACTTCTGATAAGTGATCTAAACCACAAGCTGAAATATTTGTGCAATTTAAATAAAATATATTTAACAAAAAAAAAAGCATAAACTATCAATCATGCGACACAGTGGCCTGTAGTAGATTGTGTGCAACAGGAAAGGTTTATTACTATTGTCATTTTTTAGACACTTGGAAACTAAGTATAAGTGTAATGCTTCACACCTCTGTCTGAATTTCCTGCTCGTCTTTCTGAAGCTGTTGTGGATTTAACACATTTTCAGTGTCTGTCAGTCATGATTTTGTGCCTCCTTAATAATGCTCTTTTATTTTGTAACAGTGGTGCGTTTTCATGCAGTTTTTCTCATTTAATTCCCCTCGTTCTTGCTTGCGCTGCACAGACAACAATGAAGCGCAGCAGCAATCCATCACATGCAATTTAGAAACTATTTCCTCATTCCTGAACAGACCCAGAGATTTTTTCTCGACTCAAAACAAACATTGTGTAGATTTTTAGTAACACTTTTAATTTAAATAAACGTGACCCTGAACTGTAAAACAAATCCTTAAATTAGCCGTTTTCCGTATTTTGTGATTCATGTTTTTATTTTCCCCCATTTATTTATGCTTTTGCATTGCATTATGGGATCCTGATCTTTCTTGATCAGTGTGTATTAACGTGTACATGTATCCATCTATCCGAGTATGTTTGTTGTTTATTTTGTTCTGTTTGCTTGCACTTTTTTTGCATTTGTTTATCTGTTTTTTTCTTTACATTTTACTTGATATTGATGTTGTTTCTCTATATTTGTTTATGTTTGTGTTACATGCATGTAGAAAAAGTGCAAATACAAATGAAATATATAATTATTATCATAGGAAATAAAAAAAATGTCCATTGGAGAATGTTTTTACATAATATTGTAATGATTTTTGGCATAACAAAAATCAATAATTTTGACCCATATGCCAAAGATATTGTTGTTTATTTTGTTCTGTTTGCTTGTAATTTTCTTGCATTTGTTTATCTGGGTTTTTTTTTACATTTTACTTTCTTGATGTTGTTTCTTAATATTTGTCTATGTTTGTGAAGTGCTTTGAGTTGCATGTAGGAAATAGCAAATACAAATTAAATATATCATTATTATTATTATTATTATTATTATTATAGGAAATTTAAAAAATGTCCATTGAAGGATGATTTTACATAATATTGTAATGATTTTTGGCATAAAAGAAATCAATAATTTTGACCCATATGCCAAAAATATTGTTGTTTATTTTGTTCTGTTTGCTTGTACTTTTTTGCATTTGTTTATCTGTTTTTTTTTTTTTTTTTTTTACATTTTGCTTGATATTGATGTTGTTTCTTAATATTTGTTTATGTTTGTGAAGTGCTTTGAGTTGCATGCAGGAAATAGCAAATACAAATTAAATATTTTATTATTATTATTATAGGAAAATTTTTAAAAAGTCAATTAAAGAATGATTTTACATAATATTGTAATGATTTTTGGCATAAAATAAATCAATAATTTTGACCCATATGCCAAAAATGCACCCATGCAACATAAGACATTTGATGGTTTCACCTACTGTGGTAAACACTAATGCACTAACAACACAGTAATGTGTTACATAAGCACGCCCTCCTACCTGTGCATGTTTAGTCAGTGTCTTCTGCAAGCTGTGGTTTCGACGTGCAGCAGGTTTGAGTCATTGTGAAATCAGGAGTGTAGATTATAGGTCAGATTTCACAGCAGGAAGAACAGTCGTGACCCAACCAACATTTTACATCAAATCACACCAACTGTCAAAGCCACTTCCCCATGCGCAGCATTCACTCGCTGCAGGCTATATGAGCGAAGAAGTATAAATTCACAAATTACCCGTCTCTGACAAATCAGAAGTTGTGTTCTTTATGTTTTATTTGCTTAACTTGATGGCAGAGGGGTAAACTTAGGGGTTTGAAGGATTGTGGTGAAGAATTAAGGTTTAAGGTGAACGTTATTTAGTGTTTTGGGGGCGAACTGTGGGTCTTTTATTGTGTTTGTTGTTTTAATTATGCCTGAAAAGAGTTTTTTATATGCACAGCATGTGCTTTCAGCTGTTTGTCATTGTAAACATGCCTGACCTGAGTCTTTATATACACAACTGGTCAAAAGTTTTACAAGAGTTTGATTTTTTTTTGTGGGTTTTTTTCTGCTCTTAATAATGATGACGATAATAATAATAATAATAATAATAATAATAATAATAATAATAATGACGATAATAATAATAATAATAATAATAATGACGATAATAATAATACATTTTATTTGTAAAAGGCGCCTTTCTAGACAACTAGGTCACCTTACAATAAGCAACAACAGCCATATTAGAACAAATTAAAACAAATAATAAAACATAACCAAACAAGCATTGACCAAACAAGTACAAACACACATTGAGAATATAAAATAACACGATGAAAAATTGTTAAAGGAAAGCCTGTTTAAGAAGATATGTCTTCGGACAAGAGTTAACTTTCAAGACTATCACTGCTCCTTAGATCCAGGGGAAGAAAGTTCTACAGCCGAGGAGCCATAGAGCTAAAAGATCTGTCTCCCATTGTGCTTAATCGAGTGTGAGGTGACATCAAGGAGAAAGAGTTGGCCGATCTAAGAGTGCGAGAAGGGGTGTAAACATGGAGAAGTTCAGTGAGATATTGAGGAGCAAGATTATGAAGTGCCTTGAAAGTGAGAAGTAATATTTTAAAATCAATACAAAACTTTACCGGAAGCCAGTGAAGCTGATGGAGAAGTGGTGTGCATGCTCGTGAGATGGAGTCCTAGAGATGACACAAGCTGCATGGTTCTGAAGTGTATGGAGGAGTTTAGAAGGAAGCCCAGAGAGAAGTGCATTACAGTAGTCAAGACGCAATGCACTCTTCACGTCTGCATTAATTTAATTATTCAAAAGTGCTGCAAAAACAGTAAAAGGATGAAGTATTTATATTTAAATATATTATTACTAGTGCTGGGGCAAGATTAATCATGGTAAATCGCATACAAAATAAAAGTTTGCTTTGACAATATATGTGTGTGCGCTCTGTGTGTTACAGTATATAAATATACGCATGTGTAAGACTTGAGATAACACAAATACTTTGATGTCTTTGACAATTCAAACATGAGCTGAAAACACAGAGACAATCGGTTCCACAACCCAGCAGGCGGGAATGCAGGAAAAACCAGCTCCCCTCCTTCATTTACATTTGAAGCACCCCTGCAACCCTTTTGTTCAACCACCCTCTCTACATACTGTACTCATACAGAATGGTCATTTTAAAGCCTGAATGTTCTAAATCAACCCAAGTGACTTTATCTATCATGTTTGATATCGTTTGAAATGTCTCAGTGCGACTGGTATAATGGTCTCATTCCCTCAGAAATAGACATAATCAAAACAATAGATGTATAACTTCAGGTATTTGTTGAATCACTGTGAAGCGAGTGCCTTTCCTATAGGCAGAAACTCTTCCACTAAATGCAAATGCATCTTGTTATTAACAAGCGGGACAATAAAGGGGGGTCGCCTGGTGATTTCCAAAAATCTATTTATTTTTATTAAGCCATAAGAATTAACATATGTTATCCATAACCTACTGAAGAGAAAAAAAATAGTCGTTATAGTTACTATATACTATATAGTTACCATAGTAGCTTATACTGTAGTAACTAGTTCTTTAGGATTGCGCCCCCTGGGGTAATTACATTATATTGAATACACAGCAATAGCGTCAGATGCAGCAGATTGATTTTATAACACCAGCTTAAACTTTCTGGCACATTTACAGCACTGACATACATTTAAAAAATTAAACCAAGTATAGACTTGGGTCTATTGGTGTGTGTGCGCTATTGCATGCAAGGTTTCTGTTATTATAACCACCTCAGAGTATATTGGGGGTCGCGAGTCACTGGCGTTGTCATTTTGGGGGTCGCGGGCTGAAAAGTTTGGGATCCCCTGTTCTAAACCACCTCATACTAAAATTAAAGTCAAATATGAGTTAAGTTTAAAGTAAATTAACATTGTGCATTGAAAAGACAGAACATGCTGTGAATCTTCATCCACCAGCAGACACCATCATTGGACCTTACACATGCATGCATCCATATATTTGAGAAATGTTTATTTCTATTTAGATATGTTAACGATACAAGTGATAAATAAAATTAAACATCTGTGTAACAATTGTTTTATTTCGATGTTTGTGCGTGTTATGTATACACAATAAATCTAAATAATGCACACACCTGTGTTATGTCAAAGTAATCTTTTATTTTGGGTGGGATTAATCGTGATTAATATTTGCACTTATTATTTCTAACAATACATATTAAGAGGTGTTGTGGTGGCTCAGTGGTTAGAACTCTAATCTCACAGCAAGAAGGTTGGTGGTTCAAGTCCTGGATGGGTTAGTTGGCATTACTGTGTGGAGTTTGCATGTTCTGCCTGTGTTGGCATGGGTTCCCCTCCCCTTCACCCCCCACCCCCCGAAAAAAAATATTGCTAAAGTCTTGCTGTTGTGTGTGTTTTGCAGACCGTGTGGTGTTTTCCCTGGGAACTTTCCAGAATGTGAGCATCCCAGTGAACGGAACGGTTCAGGCTGTCGTTTCCCGGATTCCTGCGGATGTTTCCTTCATAACACTGCAGTTTCACACACAGCACCGCAATGTGACACTTTCATACTTACAGGTACGAGATCACACACAAACACACACACACACACACACACACATATATATACAGTGGTCATGTTATAATGCACTGCTATACGCAATGCACACACACACATTGATGCTACACGATTCTGGAAACATCTGACATTGCGATTATTTTGTTTTGCTGCGATTTATATATTGTGGTTGTAGTTTTATCAGATGCTTTTAAATAGTGCTGTATCTGGAAATATTTCATTTATTTATATCGACTGAGATGATTAAGCCTTGTTCAATGCACTGCATCTGCATAAAATATAATAAATTACAAGCATATATACTTACGACAGAGCAGAAATAAAAGTGAAATAAACAGTGCTTCATGGTTTTTTAGGCAGTCTAAGAATATTTAGTTACAGAAATTGAACAATCAATCGTAAAATAACATGCTCAACATTTTGTAAATAATTTTTTACAATAAACATTTTTTTTAATAAATATTTATAATAATAATAAAAAGAAATAATAGAATAAAATAATTAAAGAGTAATAAAAAATAATTAACGTAATAAATTAGAAATAATAAAAAGTAAATAATATTAAAAAGTAATATTTAATCTTTTTTAATCTTTAATAAATAATCTAATCCTGCGAGATGACTATTGCAGATACACATATTGCAGAACTGATGCTCAAACGAAATATTGTTCAGTCCTAACACACACACACACACACACACACACACACACACACACTCCCAGCTTGACCCATTTCCACGGGTCGACTGAGCAAGACATCATGTGAGACTTTAATCACAAGCTCTGATCTCAATGCACACGCGCGCACACACACACACACACACACACACACACACCTCCATGCATTCTATTCATAATGTCAGCAGTCATGCAGCTGTAGTGCCCTACGCACAAACTCTTGTTCAGACACGTAGTTGAAGTCAGCATGAAATACTGTTCAGATCACAGTCGCTTCTTATAGTGTGCGTTAATATTCCCCATTCACTTTTTCCATAAAGATTAAAAAGAAATCTCTTTGTTAGAGCATTTATACACCATTAACCAATTCAATCATATAACAATAATGCGTTTTATTTGTAATGTGCTTTTCTTAAACCCAAAGTGCTACAATAGAAGATATCAAACTCATAAAATAATAATAAAAAATAATAAGTACAAAAACTAAACCATCAATTAAAAAACAAGCTTAAATAAGATGGAAATTTCAGGGCTAATATCCTAGTGGTTATTGCGTCAACATATAGCACCAGGGTGCTCGCGGCGACCCGAGTTTGATTCCTGGCTTGAGGTCATTTGCCGATCCTTTCCCTCTCTCTGCTCCCCATACTCTCCTGTCTGTTAATCTCCACTTTCCTGTCAATTATATAATATAAAAAAAGATAATAAATAAATAATATTATTGCATTTTATTTGTAATGTACTTTTTCTTAAGCCCAAAGTGCTACAATAAAAGATAATGAACACTTAAAATAATAATACAAAAGAAAAAGTATAAAATACGAAAGCAGTACAAAAACTAAACCATCACTTGGATATTTTGGAGATGGAAATAATAACAATAAATAAAAGAAAATTAATGAATTTGTCTTTCCACAAGGTCTGCAAAGAGTCTTAAATTAGACCAGAAAGTATTGTAGTCTTGGTTTAGCTTTAAATCTTGCATGCACTTCAAGCAATGAATATTTTAATCATTTGTTTTTGATTTATTTGTTTTCTAATTAAAATAGCGAAATGTCTTTGAAATCAAGACAGATTGCAAATTTAATTGAATGAAATGAGATTGTGATTTATATGTTCATTCTGCCTAATTAAGTTTAATCAATGCAAATATTTTAATAAGAATGGATGGCTGCTAAACGTTATTTGGGTCAATTTAGTTTGTTTCTATCTTCTGATTGGTGGAGTTTGCTTTGCTGAATTATGGGTAATGTAGTTTTCATATGAGATTCTGCTGTCAAACACAAGATTATATTAGCAACAAGTTGTAAAAGTGCAATCAGATGATGACTTCAGTATTCTCCTCCTAAATTTGATCCATCAAGAGTTATGAATACAACATAAATCCAAAATAAAAATACTATTTCAGTTATTCTGCCATTGTTTTTGCCCATATTTTTAATTCACAGTGAATTACTTGTTGTTGTTGATGTTATTTTGTGATCATTTGAGAGATTTACTAGCAGTTCTCGAGTGAAAGTTTCAACACCAGTTTTTAATTGAATATGTCTGTCTCTATTCTCAGGTTTTATAATTGTGGTTTCTGTTTTGTTTAGGAACCGCTTTTTGGTTTCTTTGTCACGGCAGAAGATGCTGGATTATTGTCCACGCTGATCCCCAGTCAGTTCAGCATCTCCTGGTTCCTGAACACCCCCGACGGCAGCAGCGCAGCAGCGATTGGTGTAATTCTGCCCTACACCAGCACTGGTGAGAAAGACGATGCTTTAATTAACACAATATGACATTGCAATGTTTTGTTTTACCTGCGATTATATATTACTGTATAAATACAGTTTCGCCAGGTGGCTTGAAGGGATAGTTCTTCCAACAATTAAAATTTACTCACTATTTATCTTTTTTTGACATGTTTTTTTAAGTTATCAGGATGAATGTACTATGTGCTTTAAGAAATATAATCAAAGGACTCAAAAACACATGCAAATAATAATCTATAATCCAAATTTAACATTGCAGATCCTGTGACGTGACTTTTGCGAATGCACACATTATTGATATCGATGCTAACATGATATATTATGCATATATCACATCACAATGCTCTGATTAAAAAAATCTTTATCCTGTAAAGAGTATTTAGTGTAAATATGGTGCGTCTCGTGTGCAGATCCTGTTCCCGGAGCATGCAATCAGGAATTCCCAATGGAGATCGATCCTAATATATACTTGAAATACAACCTGTTTGAGACCACGATTACCTTTGCTCCTGCTAACCTCGGATATGGAAGGTGAGAGCATTTTTAAGAGTCATGGAAACCATATTTTAGTTATTTTATTAAAAAAAATTCATTAATACACAAACTCTTAAAGGGTCACGAAACACCAAAACACATGTTTTGAGCTGTTTACAGTCGTATATGTGTCCCACACTGCTAAAAACACTATTAGGACACCTATATTTCGCTAAAAAGTGTAAATTGGTTGTTTTTGGGTTATTTCAAGCAAATTCGTTCTTCCGGTTTGAAACAAATTTTTGAAGCTGCGTCACGGTCATGACATAATAGCCTGTATTCCAGCATGCAGACTGGACGTCTGTGCCAGAGTGAGTCTTATTACATCTTACAGTGTGCTGCATTAATGCATGAGTAAGGCTTGGTTCAAACCAATCAGCACGCTCTATTGTGCAACTTCATTAATATTCATTACTGTCACAGTGTTTAGATGACAGAGACGCCACGTTGTGTTGGCAAAACAAGTTGAAGTGTTGCTTTTATAGTTTGCTGCAGTGAAGTTTTGTTTTCATTTTCTCTCTGTGAGAGCGCAGCTGGAGTCACGTGTGGATTAACAGTGTACGCGACGCTCGACAACAATAACTTGCGTGTCTAAGGAGAAACATTGTTTACCTGAGAGCTGTTCTCATCTGCAAACTCTGAGATCCGGATTCGCTTGTAGTCTCCTCTTAATAAAGACGCGGCTCTAGTTGCTGGTGATTGTCCTGTCTCTACGGATTTGGTAAGTGAGCGACCAGTGCTCTTTGTTTATTCAGTTTGTTCATATCGAACAAACTATTGCACCGAGTGTAAACATGTTAGCACTACAATCAAACTTTAACCTCGTGTAGGATTTTCACCGCATTTAGTGACCGGAATAACACACGCGGCTTTCTGACACTACCTGCCGTGTGCATCTAAATTTTCGGGAAATGCTGAGTCTTTTTTTCTCTCATTCGTCGTGCGGTATCAAACATTGCATGAAAAATACACGCTTAGAGCAGATCCTCGAATCAAATATCTCGTTTGTCGCGAGGGACATGAATGAATTCCCTGAATGAAAGAGCCAAACTGCAGTTAAAGTCCACCATTTAATAATTTGACAAATAATTCGACTGCAGATGTCCATGTAAACACAGTCACTTTCTCCCGTGTGTTTGTGTTTTGACTCTGAAAATCAGCGTGCCCAAATAGACACTCCCACACCCTCCCACTTTAGTTCCTCCGACACTCCCCCCTAAACAGAGCTGGACACGCCCACTTTTCTGACTTTTTCCAAAGTAGAGGTGTGAAAACACCCTGCTGAAACGAGGGGGTTTCATGGCCCTTTAATACACAAATACACTTCATACATCAGATTTATCATTTGTTTTCCTACAATTAAATCAAATGGATGTTGACATTATCTGCCATAATTTGCAACACAATTGTTTTTTCAGGTTTGTTTAAATATCATGACCATTCATTAAAGATCACTGAAGCCAAAATATTGATCATAATCTTGTTTTTCAGAGGGGAGATTCCTCCAGCGTGTGACGTGCAGACAGACTCCAGCACTCGTTGGCGGCTGGTTTATGAAGTGTATCAGTTCTTCCTGCCTGAAGGCGACCAATCAGAGCAGAGTCTGATCAGCAGCATGGAGAGAGTGGCCAATGTGCAGAACGTGCAGGACAACAGCAGAAAAGTGTGTGAAATCTCTCTTTGTCTTTCCATATCATTTTCTGGGGTTTGTTTATAAATCTGCTATATGAAGCAAAAAAATAGGGGTGGAAACATGCGCCCCTGGGGTGCAAACGTCACTTCACATATTTTAAATAATTAGGACACACTTTACAATAAGGTTTCATTTGTTATTGTATTTATTAACATTAACTAGTAATAAACAATACTTGTACAGTATTCATTCATCACAGTTGAACATTTACTAATGCATTATTAACATCCAAATTCATGCTTGTTAACATTAGTTAATGCACCGTGAGTTAACATGAACTAACAGTTGTATTACAATTAACTTAACTTAAATAACTGCTGTCATAATTCTATTGTTCATTGTTTATATTAAAAAATGCATCAACTAACAGTAACTAATGCAACCTTATTGTAAAGTGTTACCAAAATATCTTAATGCATTATTGCATCTTGATTTGAGATGCATTTCACACACAGCTGGATGAGTGTTAGTGTACATGAGTGTTTAAACAACATGGGCACATTTTACTCCTTCCCAAAATAATAACAAATAAAGGTGTGAGAGCGTCATCTCTTGCTGGTTTCCATTGTTCAGAAATTACAGCAGGTACCTTCATTCAGTGCTCAGCATAAATGAGCACACCCTCTTTTGAAAATGAATATTTTTATCCATTTCTTACTGAATGTAGACAATAAATGTTGGTGCATTTAAACAAAGCGGTTTTATTAAAGTTATATCCATTAA